AATCCCTATTTTTCAGGGGAAATATGCTCAAATATGTTTAGATATGAATTTTCATGATGATTTTAAAAGAAAACATTCATGAGTTGTTGAGAAGCAAGACAAAGCAGACCTAGAGGTGAATAAATGCAGAAGTAGTGCTGTCTGGAAACAGACCGATTAATCCGTCTTCCAATCCCCATGGATACAAAGACTCCTCTTGCCCACAAAGATGCCCCCTTAGAATCTTTTTTTTTAATCTCTCACTTTTCTTCTGTGATTTACAAGTACATACTTGCCTAGAGGGGGAAATGTATAATAATCATTGTCTTTGAATTTCTATTGTTTGCCTGCTCTTGCTGCTGTGTGATCACAGAACTACAGGACACATTTTCTGCATCTATGCTGCTTAGCAATTGCAGTCTACAACCTAGTTTAGACAAAATATATCAGTTTGACGAAGAGCTATTCCCAAATACATGCATATTTTTTGAGAATATGCTTTAGTTACTGGGGCTTTGCTTCTAGACACCTACTATATTTGATAAATTTTTTGCTGGAGATTTGAAGTGATCATCATGGATTAGTGTCCATGTATAGGGAGGGTATTTATTGCTAGATGCACTGAGTTGTCTTCCTACCACCAGTTTATACTCCCATCTAGAATTTCTCCCAGATGTCCCATGCCCAACACAGATGGCCCTCCTCTTTTGCCTATGTCCTCCATCCTGTCTATGCCATCTTTCTTCTCCCTTCCCTCCTTGTTTTACCCATTGATGGGATTTGGAGAGGTGGAGTAACAAATAAACCCCATAAGGAAATGCCATCAAATGACCCCAGCCCATGGGATGTGCTGACTGGCAGATAACTATTCAGTGTCAGAGACCGTAGAAACAGGGCCTGCATTAAAAAGAGACCTCCCCCAAAAAATCATCACCTTGTGGTGGTATAAAACAAATACCAGAAAGCCAAGGCTTTTCTTCTGCATTGACTCTGTTGATGCGAGTTTCAGTCTTGTATTGAGGTGGTGGTGGTAGTAGTAGTAGTAGTAGTAGTAGTAGTAGTAGTAGTAGTAGTAGTAGTAGTAGTAGTAAGAGGAGGTAGAAGTGCCATCAGGTCAATTCTGACTTACATCAGCTGTTTCCAAGGTTTTCTAGGTAGATATATATATATAGAAGTGGTTTTTCCATTCCCCTCTTCTGCAGTGCATCCTGGGACTGTGGAGAATGCCCAAGGCCACACAGGTTGGCCATTCTTCCTGGAGGCACAGTGGGGAATTGGAAGTCCCAACCTCTGGCTCTGCAGCCAGATACCCAAACCACTGAGCTATCCATTGAAAATAATTAAAAGTGTTACAAATGGATACTCTCAGCCTGGGTTATAAAAAATAACTCAACATTAAATTAAAATACATCAAATGAAGAATACACTCCACATTTTTAAAAAGTGTAATTATAATGCTTCACATGGACCTTTCCTGTCGCATGAGATTGCTGCTACATGTAATATGTAGCATGCTTGTAATGCATACATGCAGCTAGCTTGTGTAGCTTTGGGCAAGCTTTCCAGTCCCAAGGCACCCTCTTCTGAAAGGAACAGCAAACCACTTCTGAGTACTCACTTCCTAGGAAACTGTGGAAAGTTTTACCTTTTCAGAATGGGCTTGATAGATTTTAATTATTAGTAGTAATGAGTAGATCCATGAAAAACTGAAGGTGTGAGGGAACCAGGTAGCAGTTAAAATCTTATTATTGGAAAGTTAATTCAATGACCTTGGAATTGTACTCTGAATGGCACTGAATAGTAAAGAAAACCGGTCACAGGTGGGTGGAGGGCTGCTTTGCCTATTGTAGGATAATTGGGTTGTAAGATGAAAGTTTCAATAGTCCTTTAACATTCTAAACTTCTACCAGTGTCGTGCTGACTTGTGTCATATTCTTAACAACTATTTGCAAGACTAGTGCAGGCAAAACAGCAAATTTATCTGTGCATTCCAGCTTTTATCACCTTTTTAAATACACTTGGGCTAGAAGTGAAGTACAATATTGCCTACTTTGATTCAAGGATTAAGATGGGGGAGCAGCAACAAAATGTTTCCAGGCTATGTGCTTCTGTTGAAAATACTAGCCAGCCAGGTTTCAAGGCTATTCTGCTCAAGAATATTCTTTCCAGAACACAAGAGTTGTCTCCAGTTATACTGTACTCTTGTTGAGACACAGGACAGCTCAGGTTGGATGACAGCATGCATGTTTGACACAAGTAATTATCATTTACTCTCGACAGATAACAGAAAAGCAAAGAACAGCCATTGCTAATATAATAACAGGCTAAGCATCTCTGTACATGCATTAAAGAGTCTTGTTTTCCAAGTAGGGATATAAATCCTTATTTCATTTTGGGGGTTGGAACCAAAATTCCAAAAGTTTTATTTTCAGTTCAAATTACAAACCTTTTGTATGTGGGTGCATTTTGGCACTACTTGGAGAAAATGTTTGCAGTGTTTTGTTTTGTTTTTTGGTATTCAAAAACTTATATGTTGCACCCAAAACCCACCTGTATTTTGTATAAAATGCAAAGTTCTTAAAGCAGAATACGTTTACTGTGTGTATGTGCTATATAATGTTGCATCTTTTTGCTCTCAAACAGAAGTAGAATATCTCAAGGAAGGACACATTTTTGTCCAAAATGAGAAAATATGAAAGTATGACTCCCAAGCAGGCAGATTTAAGCAAACGCTTTTCCAATTTATGCCTCAGGTCAAGGATAGATAAATTTGATGGATTGGAGGCAGTTGCTTGAGAATTGCACACAGAATGATTGGAGCTTGGTAAATTTTAGTAGTTTTTAATTATAACTTAATTTTTTTTATATTTGTACATATACATATATGTTTATAAATATATATGTTCATATGTTATGTGCTGTCAAATCAACCAGAACTTATGGAGACTCTATGAATAAGTGATGTGCAAAATGGGCTGTCCTCAACAGTCCTGCTCAGCTCTTGCTGATGATGAAAAAAGTGTTCATCTTTTTGCTCTCAAACAGAAGTAGAAGATCTCAAGGCAGGACACATTTTTGTCCAAAACGAGAAATATGTTTCTATGTGTATACTGTAGTTATGTTTTTATATGATATAGTTTATTATATTCAGATTCATGGATGTTAAGATCAACAATCCATCTGTTAATAAAAAGATTGATTTTATTTGATTAATTTTTTTTTAAATTTCCCCTCAAAATGCACTGGGACTAAATAAAAGACAAACTGAAATTAATTTAAGATTGGATTTAATTTATTATAGAATAAATCTAAATCGGCTTTCAGAACCAAGCAACGATTCTGGTGGAAGGAGAAACAGTAGGGGCTGTTTAACTAACAAGAGGTTGCAGAGGTGGTTTGGCTTTTTAAATAATAAAGAAGATATGATCAATGCATCTCATGTTTGATCTTCCTCTTTTCCTGTTGCCTTTAACCTTTCACGGCATTATTACATGTGGAAATATGTTTCTATGTTTATAGTTATGTTTTTATATGATATAGTGTATTATATTCAGATTCATGGATGTTAAGATCAACAATCCAGCTGTTAATAGAAAAGATAGATTTTATTTGATTCATTTTTTAAAATTTCCCCTCAAAATGCACTGGGACTAAATAAAAGACAAATCAAAATTAATTTAAGATTGGATTTAATTTATTATAGAATAAATCTAAATCGGCTTTCAGAACCATGCAACGATTCTGGTGGAAGGAGAAACAGTAGGGGCTGTTTAACTAACAAGAGGTTGCAGAGGTGATTTGGCTTTTTAAATAATAAAGAAGATATTAATTGATTGATTGACTGTGACTGCCTAATTCTGCTTGAAGAGATACCAGGGGATGAGGCTTGTAATGGAATATAGTTACAATTTCTTCTTCCAGTCAACACTGCAATCGATATCAGTTCACTCTGTCATTGAAGGAAATCACCGATTTAGTGGCTTGCAACTAAATTTTGCAGTAAATCATAACTTTTTTTCAAAAAAAATATTTGAAGTACTAGAGGACATAAGGGATGCTTAAAAAGGGAGGATTGGGGGCTGCTGGTCATTCATGTCCATACATTGGCCACCCCTCATTTAGATGTTTGCTGAACAAAACATGAGTGTTACAGAGGTATCTCTTTGTTAAATTGGTGAAGGAAACGTGGAAGCATGTGCCTCTGCGATAGCCAGTTTAATAGGTTTGCACCTATAAATGCCACACAGCTCATGCAAACAATGTGGTCCCATATGCCGTTTTCATGTGTGGCTTATATAACGGCAGGACAGTGTTAGACAGCTGGGTTCGGAAGGTTCCTCCTGCTGAAGTCCCACTGAAAGTAAATGAGAATTATAGAGCAGTTCTGCCCGTATTTATTTCTAGTGGTTGGATTATTGGACCAGGGCTTGGGATACCAGTTTCAAATCCCCAGTCGGCCATGAAAAGTGCTGAGTAGTGGTGGTTATAAGGAGAAACTGGGGAGAAGCAAAGCCATGAGCACATTGGCAGAATGCTTGGAGAAGCAAATAAATGAGTATGCAAGTCCTACTGAGTTCCGTAGAACTTAACTACAGTGTCATTGGGCAGCAGGCTCCATTTTTACTGGATTGTGCCTATTCTATGCTTGCACCATTCATTACAGCATGGGTTCTAGTTTCTCCTAAGTGGTTGACCTCTCTCTCCTCTGCTGTTCGCTAGTTATCCCTGGTAGCTCCTCATTAACACCTAACAAACAACAACTGCTTGTTACGAAGTAGTTAGCTTGCTACATTCTCAACTTCTTTTTTTAAAAGTTAACAAGAAGATAAGCTAATGGTTGCAGTTTGTTACAGTCATAACCATTTTAATTTACAAGTTATCTTTCTTTGCCTCTCTGGCCAGATGGTCTTAAGTTGTCAGAATCATCCCACAATTGAAGTACTGTATAACCAATGTGTATCTTATTCCGTGCCACAGAGATACAGTAACTTTATGTAATATTTTTCTTTCTTTTATTGCAGATCACCAGTGAAAGAGATGGCTTCCTCTGAGCGAGAAATAGTAGTCTGGGTTTGCCAGGAAGAGAAAATTGTAAGTGGACTCACCAAGCGTACAACTTGCATGCAAGTAATTGAAGCTCTGCTTGAAGAACATCAAGCCACTTTTGGTGAGAAGAGGTTTCTCTTTGGACAGCCAAAGGATTACTGTATTGTTGAGAAATGGAGAGGTTCTGAGCGAGTTCTTCCTCCTCTCACAAAAATGTTGAGACTCTGGAAAGCCTGGGGTGAAGAGCAACCCAATTTGCACTTTGTCTTAGTCAAGGCAGATGTCTTCCCACCCTTCCCATTATGGAGGACAGCTGAGGCTAAGATGGTACCAAATCTAGAAAAACACTGGGACCTCAGCCCAGCGAATTACATGAAGATGTTGCCAGTGGACAAGCAAAAGAGGATTGTTAGGAAAACTTTCCGGAAGCTGGCAAAACTTAAACAAGAAGGGGTTCTCCAGGAGAGGGACAATATAGAAACACTCATCCACTTGATCTTGTCCCAAGATCACACCATTCACCAGCAAGTCAACAGAATGAAGGAGCTGGACTTAGAAATTGAGAAGTGTGAGGCCAAGTGTCACCAAGACCGGCTTGAAAGTGATGGAGAAAATTATGTGCAGGAGACTTACTTAATGGCAACTTTGGGTAATGCTGAACAGCAAAAGGACATGTCTCACAGTCAGCTACTGATGCAGGAAGGCCTTTGCAAAGATGAGAGACTTGCACAAGTGGAAGAAGGGCTAAAGCATCACCAATTGTTGATTGAAAAGCTGTCTTCAGAGATTGAACAAGAGATGAAAGGGCTAGAAAAGAGTGCAGACGATGGAGACACATGGACAGAGGAAGCAATTAATGGTGAAATAAAACATTCTGATGTAGAAAGCATGAAGTGTGATCTAGAAAAAAGTATGAAAGATGCCTTGAGGATCCATTCTCAAATGAATTATATCCAGCAGGAGTTAAAATACAGAGATCTAATGCTTCAGAAGAAGGGAAAAGAATTTGAACTGCTTGTGGAAGAGCTTAATGCCTTTCATGCTAAAGACGAAACTGAATGTAGATTCCCACCCAGTGAGGAATTAGCAAAGGGTAGTGAAACGGTTACCAAGACTTTTGCAGGGACAGAACTTCTTCACAAAGTGACCACTTTAGACATAAATGATACAGACTCTGATACTGGAATCAGTTCTACTCATAGTCAAGACTCAGAAACAGCTATAGGGGATGCACTGCTATTGTCCACATAGTAGACAATTGTTTATTTTTTTGAGAACAGTGTAATATTAATGCCCCTTAAAGACATTGGGATAATAATATATATAAGGTGGTGTAAGGTGTTCTGACGGCATAAGACTTTCCAAGTCAGCAAACTTGGTCATAAATCAAAAATATAGCTAATTTTCAGTTGCAAAGAGGAAAGAGTAAAATGGTTTCCCCCACTTCCTAATGCAAATAATTTAGCCAATTGAGCATAATCATAGTTCATGTAGAGGATTTCAAATGCATTTGACAAAGAAAAGCCTAACTAGGCTGTAGTGGTAATGGACCATGAACTATAATCTAAACCACTGTAAGTAAAAGCGATCACCATATGTATCTGTTCCAGTCCCATGGGGAATATTATTGCTTCTCATTATTTTATAAATTGACCCACTGCCAAGCAAAGTATTCTTCATGGCTCCGATGATTCTGACCCTGCTCACTCCATCTTATGAAGATCTGTGTGGATATCTTGTGCACAAGATTTTTTTTTGTTTTTTCACACCTTTCCCTGACACGTGTGCAAAAAAAGTATTGGAGCTGGGGCTGGCAGGGATGATGGAAGAAAAATGTATTTGCCTTTAATCTCTTATTAAATCAACAAGTCCATACATAACAACGTGTGACTCATATGATCAAATTCAGGAGTTGCCATTATTTTGAGAGGTAGTGATCCCTTTTTAGCACTCTTTGTCTGAACTTGAGGTAAATTATTTGCTTCTGAAAAAGTGGCCTTACAGTGCATATTTTCCAGAGTCACTGTTTTTCCTCAGCACATAAGTAGAAGAAAATTAAGGTTTCATGTGGCAAAAAATTACAAAGAGCATTACAGTGCCATTAGATTGAATAGGAATCTGGCATCTCTCCCCCCCCCCGCCCCTGCTTTGGCTTGCTACAGTTCTTATATGTCATTTTACAGTATATTTGTAATATATATAAAGGTTCTTTGTTTGCACATACCTTAGGTAAGCAAGAATAGGTTCAGTGAACTCCTGAATGTATATTTTAGACTTTGGTTGTTAAACGGATGGACCACAGTTCAAGTACTGCATCAGCTGTTTGCTATAAAGCACCAAGAAACCCATGGTGATAGTACATGGCTGCCATTTTGATGGTGGGTTTGGTTGGCCTGAGTTAGATCCTGTTTTAGACTGCAAATGAAAGGACAATATTTAAGAATGGATAAATGGAAGCAGTATTGGTCCTTTGGAAATGTTGACATTATCTTCCTTATGAATATGATTTGCTCTTGTCTTCCTTCCTTCCTTCCTTCCTTCCTTCCTTCCTTCCTTCCTTCCTTTATGCATTGTCTGCTGAGATGTTCAACATGACTAGGAAAGACTCGGATATGACATGGAAAATGTTTTCTTCATTCTTCAGTCTGTTTTGGATGTTATGAAGAGAGTTTTCTACAGAGTTCTGTTGACTGCCTCATTTGTTAAAAATGGTGGCTGTTACTGTTTAGCATTATACTAATTGCCTTAATTATTGTGGTCTCTAGCCTATTGGCTCTCAGTAGAAACAGAGATGAATAGCAGATTAGGTGTTGTAGATTTTTATTAATTTATTAATGCTTTCAAGCATCTTTTTTTATACTTCACAAGATGTTGTATAAATTCTTACATCTCCAGTGCCGAAAAAAAAGCTAATGTAAATCATTAGTTAGCAATTTCAAGTATTCCCAGAGATCATGTAATATATAAAAATAACATTTTTAGTTTTTAATGCTGTACAAGATGCAGGTTGCTAGTGCCTCTTAAGTGCCATTGTATTGTAAATGAGAATTAAACTAGAAAATTTACTTTATGAAGATAGTCTAAGTGGTATTCACTGATACTTCAAGCCTAATTTAGCTTTCTTTACCTCCTCCTTTACATGTCTGCAGTTTTTTAAAACAATCCCACGTTTGGGGAAGATTGGGTGAAGATTGGGTTTCCCCAAGCCAGCTGCTAAGAGGCACTTTCCTGGGGGGACTCAATTTGTGGGTGTATAACATGGATGTCTGAAACCCAATCTTCATCAATCTTCACCAAACTTGGGAGGATTGTAGAGGAGAGTCAATGTAAGTTTCTATGTGATTTTGGTGTTTCTAGGTGGGGGACTTTCCTGGGGGTGTCCAACTTGTGGGTGTATAATTCAGACATCCAAAATCCAAAATTTACTAAACACGCATGGCTTGTAGAAGAGAGTCAGAGGAAGCTTCCCTGCAAATATGGTGTCTCTAGGTGCTGAGGGGTGGATCTTATAGGGTTATAAAGTCAAAAGAAAAACATATCAAATTCATTTCATGATTCATTGACCTTAACAAATCGTGAATGAAAAGGAATCACACTTTTTTTTATTTCTGCCCAACTCTAGTTGTAATTTATCTACTTTCTTCTTCCTGAGTGCTCCTTTTGATCACTTCTAGTAACTATAAGAAGCACCCACATCCCAATTAAACAAAGATACAACACAGCCTAGAAACTACTGTGTGTTGTGTTGGATGACTGTAAAGCCTAGACTAAGAAGGTGTCTTCCACTTTGCCTAAATAAATTCAGCCTTGCACTGTTAGACCAGTGGAGCTTTCTTCTCCCACTTCCAGCCTTCTATGTTACTCTGAAACTTGCTATGGGGAGTTTGTCGGCCCTCTGTTGCTGGTTTTGAATGCTTGTGATAGGGCTTTAGGAGAAGGGGGCTGACCCCACCTTCCAAGATCTGCTCCTACAAGAAGTTTCAGTGGTGGGGGAAAAACCATTTATGACTGGTCTTTGTAGGAGGGAGAGAATATACATTTACTCATTAGCTGTGGCTCTATGGAATGTGATAATACTTGAGGTCGATTGATATTTTTCAACAAGGAAACATGGGTGACGTACTTCCTTACCCATCTCGATTGCAAATCAAGTTTCTTACAGAGCAGGGAGATGCATAGTCTGCCTCTGCATGCAAAAAAGTGCATTTTCCCATTTTATATCAGACCTGGGAACTCAAGATAAGAAATGTCAGCATTTGTCACCCATTTTTTGTCAAGTGCCTTCTGGCATGACACAGATAAATTAAAATAAATGAGGCATACAATCCATGCAATGTGTATATTGTTTTCAAAGCAAGTCTCCTTCCAATGAGGCTCCTTCCAAGTTTGTACGATTTCTGACTTGACATGTAGCTTGAGCAGGGTGGTTTCAGCAGGGCTTGGTAACATCTCATCCACTGTATTATGCCCTTCTAAGGAAGACATCATGTGAAAGTGACTTCTGTTGCAATATGGAAAGCCCTTCCTCATCATCTCCCTTTCCCAGCAACTTGGATGCATGCCAAGTGGTCATATCCACCTAGACATCAAAAGTGAATGGGTTCAAGGGAATAATTTTATAGGAAGGAGATCTAGGAGTAATTTGGGAGTTCACCTTTTGACAAGCATGAGGCTTTTTCTAAACCAACGTGCTCTCAAAAAGTAGGCAGGGAAGTCCACCTGTTGTAATGTGGTAATTTACTAAATTTAATGGAAACTGGGATCTCAGTCTAACTAAGGCTAGCTGTGGTCAATTCCCACTGAAATATCAAAGGAGCTTAATATAGTCATGACTAACTTTCCTTGGTATTAAATACATGTAACTTTAATTGGTTTGGGGTATGAGGCTGAAACCTGTTTTCTGATTATCTTTTATTGTTACCAGTATTCTATTGTAATACGTATGGAATCATTCCTTAAGCTTTATCATACTATGTTGCCAGAGAAATGGTTAAATTAAAGTATTTATGATCATTGGCTGAACAGCTAACTTCTCCTTTTATCTAGACTGCTGCTTCAGAATGTGAATAATGTTCAGTTGCATAGAAATGTAAAAGGATGGTAACCAGAGGTGTGGTATCTGTATTTTTCAAAATAAAATGAAGCTACAAAATTCAGATTCTTGCTTGGTTGCATTATTTTTCCAAGTGGATGTGCAACAAATTATTGCAGTGTGGTGTGCTCACTGCAGGCCATAAGCCATGTGTTTGTCCCATTGCTTTCATGCTCACAGTAAAACACATGGTCTTTGGGCATAGTCTTGTCCTTCATTTTTTTCACTGATGATATACCATCTTTGACCCAAAGCACCTTACTGTACTTGTATCATAAATATCATTTTAGGTACATTAGCTATATTTTTATATGCCTTTTATGTTGTATACAGTAAAACACACTGAGGTTTCAGTATCTGCCCATGAAATGTAGGCATTTGCTTTGGAGTCAGTGAGGTTTGTATGCAAAGTATGTCTAGACCTCATAGTAATCTCCCTTGCTTGACTGTCAAGTGAAGTAGGAAGCTCTTATATGGAAGTTCCATTATTTCATGCTTAAACAATTCCATACAAATATAGAAGGAACAGCACCTTTGAGACTTAAAGACTGTGATTTCTTTATTCTTGATCATTGAATATGTTTCTGGTTCCATTGTATGACATGGAGTTGTGGACATAGGCAAATATATATGGCAGAGTGCTAACGGATTCTTACCTTGAGAGGATAACCAATGAAGAAATATTAGGATAAATGAAAATGGATGCCAAGATGATGGCCAATAAATTTAAAAAACAAACAAACTCAAGATCATTCAGTGAAAATAATTGGGAAGGAAGTGCAGGAAGTCAAACATATTGGTTAAAGAACCTTGATTTGAATGCAGTGCGACGTTGTTTAGAACTGTTGCATCCCAAGTCAAAATAGCCATGGTGATATCCAGTTTTCATATGAAAGCAACAAGGTGTTTAAACGGCCAGAATACGCTAATTATCTTCATTCAGTGAATAAAAGTGTGATGGAATATTAACCTGTGGAGTAGCATACATGGAAATGTACTGAGGGAAGAAAAGTGAGTAATTGTGGGAATGAAGTCCACGGCTGAGCGGTATCTTTATTGGATAACCTAAAAAAGTCACACACAAGTATTGTACTCTCCATAATTATTCATTGGGCAAAAATAGTATGAAATTTTGGATTAGGGCCAATAAAACTTGAGCCAGAGCTAATGCCAGTGGCTCATGAAGTCACACTACTAACAAAATCAAATGGAGCTTACCTTACATGGGACAGAGGTGAAAAGGATACTAATATGCAGATCCTCTCCTTTCTGAAGACCAAAAGCTAGCTTGATTCCCCCAACCCCAAGTCTGCCAACTGAGTTGTATGTAAAGAGGGAGGGACTACAAATGGAAACCTTTGTGGTGTCAAAACTCCATTTTGCTATGTTGGCTGTCTGACGTCTTGAGGGACAGATGTTTCATTTGACCCAATTTTTAAACTATTAGTTTTGAAGCCAAGTTATTCAGTTGTACACTGGAAGTTCAGCATTGGTAACCAGACACTGGCCTCCTCTGCACTTTTGGGGGTGGGGTGGAGAAGAGTATGTCAAATGGGACAGCTTTTTAATCCAACAGGCAGAAACGTCTGGTAGGGTCAGAGAAGGAACAAAGAGGAATAACCCAGTTGGCAGCCTACATTCAGCTCTGCAGTGCAGCATTCCAACATTGCTATAGGGAAGCGAGCCTGCACCTGCTGTCTTCCCTGAGACACAGCCTTACTTCATCCAAACTGGGAATATTACCAATGCATGGAGCAAGTTTTCAGAAAGTACAGTACTGAGCCTCTTAATTGATACTGTCTGCCACATTGTTAATGATGAATGGCCCAATATACCAGCACTATTTTGTGACTCTGTTGAACTGGCTTATTTCCATGTGTTCCAGTGTGCCCCATGTCATTCTGTACCAGGGAGGTGCCAACATGTACTAACAAAGATGTAGTGAACCTTGAACTTTTAAACATGCTTTGCCTGCGTGAAGTGTGTATGTCTAACTTGCGTATTCCAGTGACTTTGAGAGTTTGCTTGGCCATTAAACTTGTAGAAGCAGCTGCAAGGGTACACTTTTGACCACAGCAAATTGCATCTCTGAATCACACCCATTTCACTCTTGGTGGACACATATGGAAAGAGACTTTGTTCGGTCAAAGCAGATGAAAATATTTTTGTGGTGCTCAACAGAGATATACTTACAGCAAATGTCAAAAGCATCAGAACAAGATGCCATGAGGGGCTCATATTGACATGGGCCTTTTTAGCTTGCAGGTTATCGATTGCTGAGTTGGTTATAGAGAGAAAGGGGGGGAAGAAATTGAGTGTCAGCAGGGCGGGAGGCCTTTCATTCTTTTCATGATGAACATTTTCTTACAAGTCCACATGTTTGTTCATACCATAGAATCACACGCTGTGAGTGAGCTGTAGGCAGTAACAGCCTGTGTTGTTTTATTGTTCTTTTGATTTGTCTTCAGATTCAAGCTTATCCAAAAATCTATGCCAGGTGGAAAAGAAGTGAACATCAAAATTGATCTTACACAATAGAGAACAAACAACGCATCAGAAAATTCTACAAAGCAAGTATGCATAGGAATCTATTCAAACATGCCCTTTGTCTGCAGAGACACAGACCTACAAAACAATATGTTGCTTGTAGTTCACTAATGTTTTTTCCCCTGTGTTGTTAACTTACATATGGCTATAGATACGTTTAAGAAATACATGACATGTCAGCATTTTATGAAGTATAGGCTTGGGCATAATGTCCTTGCCACCTCAGTTCTTATCATATCTTTTATATATATAAAAAGGGAGCCTTTTTATCTTTTCTCCAATCAGCGGGGGGAAGCAAAAGCTTGGAGCTGACTCCCAAGGAAGCAAACAACTGGTAGGAAAGGGGATAAGAAGTGTTTGCCCACGTTTCTTTATCACTCAAATCCCCCTTAGAAGCCAACTTAAAAAAAGAAAAAGAAAAGAAACTTCAAGGAAAGAAACGTTAGAACTACATACAATATCCCACAGAAAAAGTAAGATAATTGCAACATAGTTGTATATTTCTGCTTGTTTCTTTTAAACAGCATTTCACCCAAGGTCACATTTAAAAAGATGCAT